GTCACGGGCCCGGGCCTCCACAAGGTTAGGGTCCGCGCGGACCCATACTGACACCTCGGCAGACTTGGTGAACGCCGAGCAACGTGTCATGTTACGCTATTCCAGCCGCGTCGCCTGGCTGCCCTGCGATGACGAGGAGCCGCCACGGTCACCGAGGTAGTGGAGGAGGCGCTCACGCGCCTTTGCAATCACCGTCAGCACCACCTCCTCCTTCACGGCCTTGCCGCGCTAGTCGCCCCGCGGTGGAGATACTGGCTCCTCCTTCACATGGCGCGCGACTTGGACGTCGCGGGTTTCGTGGGTGGGACGCTGGCTCCGCCTTCATGCGGCTGAGAGGCGGCGAGGCAAGCTCCTCCTTCATGCGGGTTGGCGGTGGAGAGGGCGATGCCGGACCATGGTCTCGGAGTGACCGCTCCATCATAAGCTCCATCTGCCGCACGTACTCATCGTCCATGACCACCACCTCCGCATACAGGTGCAGTAGCTACTACGGCTGATCCTCCACGTCACCAAAGGAGACGACGATCTCCTACTTCTCGGAGAAGCCAACGGCCGTGCAGGTTGAGGGCCCCATAGAGCAACTACGGTGCGCCAAGATCCGCAGGGAGATCTGGATCCGTCGCCTGCTGCCGGCAAGGAGAACCATGATTTTGGCATGGTGCGGACACTGTGGTCTGGACGGCGCCCGAGCGAAGAGGATCAGAGAGGGTGCGGGAGGAGAGGAAGAGGAGTGATGCGGTGAGGTTTGGACTGCCCAGGAGCCCCGCTTAAATAGGCACTGCCAGGCCAGGCGACGGGACGGGAAGCCACAGGGAGCCGACTTCAATGCATCGGCTGGAGTAGGTTTCTCGATTGCCGCATCGGCATTGAAGTAGCATTGCCCACTCGTCCAATCGCGTCGCTCTGACGGACATCAATACTTTGGCCCTGTTTGGAGACCCGCCACTCCACCACTCCGCTCCCGGAGCTGGAGTTAAAAAGCACGGAGCTGGGAAAGAGATGCTCCGCAGCTCCTCGTATTTTTAGGAGCTGGAGTGACTCCGAACAGGGCCTTTGGAGTCCCATCGACTCTGAAGCGGCGCTGATCGGCATTAATGCACAACAACTGCTTCGCGCGGAGAGGGTCTTTCGGGTGGAGAGGGTTTTGGGTGGGACCGGGCTGGCGGCCGCGTACATGGCAGTGGTCCTGAAACGGATCTTCATGTGCCAGTGGATTCGTGGCCGCCTCCCATCTGGGGTTGAGGTCCTGAAACGCAACGGCCCGGGAGATGGGATGTGTCCCCTATGTGGCACGACGGAGGACGCCAACCACATCTTCTTCTCCTGAGTTATGGCCCAGTTCCTGTGGACTTCCCGGACTTACTGGCGGAAATCCACGCCTCCGCCCCCCGCCACCGCCACATTAGGTGGTTGTGCGTTGGGGTGCTGGCCTGGATGCTTTGGACCATCCGCAATAAGCTTGTCATCCAAAGAACTCCTCTTCGTCGTGCGACTGACACAATCTTCAAATTGTGTGGTTACTTGCAGCTTGGGCGGCCGCTTAGCCACCCCGGGATCGGGA